GAGCAGGGAGCCCGATGTGGGACTCGACCCCGGGACTCCAGGATCATGACCTGAGCCGAAGGCAGTCGCTTAACCAACTGAGCCACCCAGGCGCCCTCTCCTCTCCATCCTTGCCACCCCCCACCCCGGTCTCACTCCTTTCCGGGGCCCTTGTATGCAAGTCCACACGAGGCCCCTAAATACATTCTAAATTCCAGCAAATCTCTGCAAGTAAGATTTTATTCCCTCCAAGTGCCAGTGTGATGGTCTCCTATGTAATGAAGAAGCTTTTATATTTTTAGTTTTCTTCCCATACAACAAACACTATTAATAACATTCTAGTTTCTCCCGAGATGATATGGATTAGACCAAATGGAAAGTTACCATGGCTACCAGAGTGTTATTTTTGGTTTGAGAAATTCATGCCAAGGGAAGCAGCATACACGGTCAAGAACTGGAGCTTTATTTCTGCTTTGCTATCAGGCAATCAATCCCAATTTAATTTTGAAACCCTAATTGCAGCGGAAACTAATTATGAGCGGCAAGACCTGAAACCCCTAATTAAAGTAGGAGTCAATAAAGCGATTGGCATTATCACTGGGGCGACTCTGGCAGGGAGTTAAGCCCAGGAGGACTTTCTCTCCCAGGTAACCACCGAAGGGAAATGGGGCAGGGAAGCGCACTGTGAGGCTCCATGCAGGACCCGAGGTTGGGTCTGGAAGCTCATCCGTGTCTGGTGAGCGAGCAAGCCAGGTCCTCTCTCTGCGCTAGGAAGATGCACCAAACTGGGGGCCAGGTGAGAAGCCCCAGATGGAAAGGAGGTGTTTCTACGACCAGTCAACCCCCAAGAGTGGTCAGGGGAGGCCAGGGAAGGAGGAGCTAAGGGGAGGGGGAGGCCAGGGAGGGACGGCTGTACCCCCATATGTCACTGTGGCCTTTCTGTGCAGGCCTTGAAGGATATAACAGCAGAGGAACAGGGACATCCACACAGAACCTCGTCACTCAGACCCAGATATTTAGCAGCTGTTTGCTCACATACCAATGCTGAGTTGCACTTTTCTGAATTAGCAGAAGGCTTATGGCAGGACTTCTATTAGAGTGAAAACCTACTGCCAATCTGAAGCACCCGGTCCCTTTGGGACCTCCTGGTCTATCTTTGACAGGTTTAAAATACCATTAATGGCATGACTTCATCTACCGGACGCTAGAATGATCCATATTTAGGCCAGAAACCACATGGTCCTCATATCACCCCACTGGGCTCCAGGACAGAAAGGGGCTCTTCAATCAGGGAGGAAACACTTTTAAACTGATGATTAATTGCTCATCCCCCTCCAAACTCCTTGACAAAGAGACAAAAATGAACTTTGCTAAATGGTTAGAAAGCTACTCTGAACACTCCAAGAGGGCAGTAAAATCAGAAGAAACCTAACCTCTTCTCACTCAGTGTCTATTTTTCTACAAAGGGCTCTTTCTCCCTTTAATAGGTTTTTCTGTTACATTTTCCTGAGAATTCTTTTAAGCATTATTGAGAAGGAAGCCGAACATCATAATGCTGCTGTAGCTTTTTCAATTGCACGAAGTCAGTCAGTCCCTCAGGAGACAGAGCTCCACCATCTGGGTGGGAGGAATGTCATGAGACTTCAGATTCCTATTTCTCATGAATAAGGGAGGTCCGTGGTCAAGCTAAGGGCCGACGGGATTTTTTCCAAGGCAGACAGACCCACGGATCAAGGAGAGCCTGTATTAACCTTCACTCTTAGTGTTGTCGCTGGCAGGCAACATAGAACACAGGTCTTGTCTTGAATCAGTCCAATGAGGTTGAGTATTTTCATCAAAATAGTGTGTTGACTTACTACGCAAAACCTTTGGTGTTGGTGTCTTGTAACAAAGGTTCAAAATGAGAGCAGTAAAGACAAGACAGTTCCAAACACTGAAATGTTTTAGAACCTGGCTGAGATAGGAAAGGCGGTATTTGGTGGCTTCTGTAGGTTATATACATTATTGACATAATGCCCCAGCAGGCTCAGCAGAGAGAGGGGCTCAGCCAGCTCACAGCCACGGCGAACAAGGGAAGAGAGATACAAAGAGAGAAGGAAGAAAAATAGGTCCATGTTACCAAGTTACTTTGGTACAGAATTTCCACCCAAGGAGACTGACAGAGCTTCTTCCCCAAACGCAGCCTTGGAACCCCCTTCTGTGCAGCTGGGTTCCGTTTCCAGGGGAGGGAGGCACATCACGAGGGGCTTAGCCCGATCTACCAGCCAAAGAAAGTGCCTCTGTTTTTACAGCCAGCAGGCTGCAAACTTTTTCTGGTGCCTGTTGGAAGACCAAGGCTTTCAAGGCTCCCAAAAGAATCTCCAATGCATCTTATCTCAACACCGCACGTACCTTGGCTCCCAGGAACGGCTTGCGGTGATAGAAGCAGCACAGGACTGCCGACAGGGCGTGGAAGGCATTGCAATCCTTAGGCATCTTTCAGTGCCCGGTCCCTGGACCACACACTTTCCTTTTTCTAGGGTTAAAAGAAATGGGGCTTGCGCGTCAGAGCCCCAGCCCGCCGCGGCAGCCCCGCTGCTCCCGCCCGCAGTCCAGCAGCCGGCTAGGGGAGCGAGCCGCTTGCTCCTTCTCGCGGGCCAGTCTGGGACTTCTCCCCTCCGCTGAAGCCAATACGAGCCACTCGTTCAATTCTGGCAGGCTGATGTCCAGCCTGCCAGGCACACAGTGCCAGAAATCCTCATGTGACCAGACTTGCTTTCCGATGAAATTCTAACCTCTCGTAGAAGAGCTTTGGGCTTTAGCTGTCCCCTCAATTTAGAGACCCAGCAGAAATCATTATCCCCCTCAAACAGCCTGTCCTTCCCAGGGCTAGGGCACCAGGCGACCAGCTCCTGGACGCTTGATCTGTGCTCGTTACCCCAGCAGCTATGGGTTAAGGAAGCACACATCACACCACCTTGTGATGAGACAAAGGCTCCTTTGAGAAAAGGACCTAAAAGGTGACTGGGGTGTGACTTTTCCTTAGGACCAATCCTAGAAGTCCGAGGAAACGGAGGCAGCGTCCCTGTCCCCACTCTCCCAGCCCACCCGCAGTACTGTTTATTTTTCATTAGAATGCTCCTGGCAGCCAGTTTGCAGCTGATAACGTTGGCCTAGCCATCACTGTTGGCAATAGGGTCTTCTGGTGTTTAATCAGCAGGTCTGTTGGCAAACACCCTGGGCGCCCCATCCCGTCCCACCTGGCCGAGCCGTCTGCTGGGAGGCTGGAGGTCAAGCTGTACACCCTCTTCTGACTCAACTCTTTGTCTCACTTCCCTCCTTCACTTCAAATACTCCGTTCAGTTGTCCTCTCTGGCTAACCCAGATCCAGCACTCAGACCAGGTCGCCCACACAGCAAGCCATTCTCCTGTTCTAAGAGGCCCTTGCCCCCACCAGTCCTGAAGGGGAATGCTTCTCTTCTTGCATTCCAGTCAGAGTGGATGCTCAACAATTCTGGTTTTTATCAAACCCCGGTTTCTGCCTGTAGCTCTTCCTCTCCTACTGGTCCAGACGTTACCTTTCTATGGCTTCGGCCACTCAAAATTGGAATGTGTCCTGAAGCTTTCTGAAATTTCACACAGGCAGAAACTTGTAATGAGGACGAAACAGAACCTATTCAGTCCAGAAAGGAACAACACCAGATGAGGCATGAGGGAAGTATGAGAAATATCCAACAGGATTAGTGTCAAATCCTCAGGAGGCCTCGGCCTTTGGACTAGGTCAAGTCGGCCTGTAAAAATAGAGACTTGTTTGTTCAATGCCTGGAGCAGCCTCTGTGCTTTAACACAGCCTGAAGGGGCAGAGGGGCAGCCTAATAAATACATAGGATACAGGGACAGAGCTACAGAGGGTCTGTCACCACAGGAATGACGGGGGAGGGGAAGCTGACTTCCTCTGTGCTCCCTCAGTCCCTCTCTTCTGTCATTTTGAAGGCCAGATGTGCAGTCCTGGGGGCTCCTGGGTCTGGGGAAGTCTACCCAAGAACCTGGAAGCAAGCATCAAAGGTGGTAGAGTTCACAGGGCCCTTGGAGTTGGTCCAGTTGGGGTCGATACAGTCCTCCAAGATCCATATACTGTATCCACGAGCAAGCATTTGCTGTTTGCCCTGATTTCTATTAGAGAGGGTTCAAACAGAGCAGTCAGGGCCCATGACCTGTGGGGATGACTCATCCATGAGGCCTACAGTCAACAGGTAAGGGGCCCAGTTTTCATCTGCTCATCCCCTTTGGCAGGAGACGTGCTCCACCAGGCTAAAAAACTCCCGAGAGGCTACAAAAAAGCGCATCCCCAGTGTGGGACAAGGAAAGAAAGCAGCTCCTTAAATCCCCCACAAAAATTCAGAGAGATTGCCCAAAGCCTCTGAACTCCTCCTTCCCCCCAGAAAGTCTGAATTGAAGTATACTCCTGAAAGAAATATGCAAATAATTCAGACTTGTAAATGACCAAGAATTATGTCATCAAGTGCTCTGGGGCCAAGGTAAAAGCAACACAAAAGATCCTCCGGTCACTGTAGAATCATGGTTCTTGTCACTTGAGGCTTTCTCTGTTTACTCTAAGAAATGTCCCCCAAATGCCCAAAGAATTGCTTGTCAGGATTAAAGAATGGATTAATCTTATTAGGTAACTGTTTCCTAAGCACTTTTTTTTTTTTTTAAAGATTTTATTTATTTATTTGATAGAGAGAGCGAGAGAGTACAAGCAGGGGTAACAGTAGAGGGAGAGGGAGAAGCAGGCTCCCAAGGAGCAGGGAGCCGGATGTGGGGCTCGATCCCAGGGCCTTGGGATCATGACCCGAGCCGAAGGCAGACGCTTAACCATCGGAGCCACCCAGGCGCCCCTCCTAAGCACTTTTTAAAAAAAGATTTATTTGAGAGAGAGAGAGAGAGAGTGAGCGTGAGTGCACACACGCCTGTGCGTAAATGGTGGGGAGGGGCAGAGGGAGAGGGAGCAGACAGGCTCCGACCCTGAGACTGTGACCTGAGCTGAAACCAAGAGTCCGATGCTCAACCGACTGAGCCACCCAGGCGCCCTGTCACTTTTTAATTTTTTTGTTCCTCACCAAAAATAGTTTCTGAAACTGCACTCAAAGGTTTTAATAAATTTCTCCTGAAATGGCCAAGGAGGGAGACTAAAATAACGTGTTGTTGTTGCAACTAAAGATGATAATTGCATGAATTTGCAAAGTGCCCTTCACTGACTTGTTATGTTTTTCAATATCTGCATCTACACTGATCAATTCTCCCACGTTCTCCTGACAGTGATTATTCTCTTCCAGTTACAAAGAAACAGAAAACCAGGACGGCATGTCACTCAGCAGAGAACAGACAAAGGACCAGGGACTCCAGCCTGTGATTGCAGAACCTGGTATTGTAATCACACAGAAACACAAATAAGAGATTTTTTAATGTCTTTATAATTAAACCTGTTACTCACACAGCCCCATAGAAAGGCGGTGACCTGGGGCAGGGGGGTCACTCTCTGATGATTTGGTGCATGTGATTTAGGACCAAATTTGGATTCAGGGTTTTCTACACACCGTGCTCTTCTCAGGACAGGGGTTGGCATCTCTAGCGCAGCCCCAGGGACTGATGGAGAGGGAGTGGTGCTGGATAACCCACAAAACTCTGGGGAAACTGTGCTCTCTAGCGCCCCCCCCCTCTGGCCTCCTGGAAGACTTGTTCCTCTGCACCAAGGGACACACCTGTGAAAAAAGCCAGGGCAGGGCAGCCAGGAAGACCCTTGAGGGAGATTCCCATGCCTTCAGGTCAAATGCTGCCCACCCCATCTGGGAAGAGGGTTAAAGCCCGCCAGAGGAAGGTCCCTGCTCCATGCCATTTTTTCCTTGGGCAGCCCTAATACTAACCTGCCCTATTTAGTAACCATGGAAACGGGAGCAGCCTGCCAGCCATATCCCCGCAGATGCGTGCTTCCTGTTGGCAACAGCCCTTGGGTTGAGAGAGGCTGAAAGTGTGCAAGAGTCCCTCTCCCAGAGAGTTACAGTCCTCACTAGAAGATCCGGCTCCCACTGAGGCAGACCCTCTCTTTGACCTGGCACTGGGGGAGAGGTCTGTGGGAGAGAAAGAGGTGCCTACCAGGTATTTGCTTTTACCTGTTTTCAGGGCAACCGGGAAAACAAAGCTGCCAATACTCTGCCATTCTCCTCCCCAGAGCCGGCCCAGAATCAAGGCATCAAGCCTTAGGTGCACTGAGGTGCTCTTGGTCACTGTCCCACAGTCCAAGGACAGCACGCTGTCACCAGAGGGCACCGGTCTAAGGCTGCAAGGCCTGGCTCATCCCTGCCCACAGGGACACACTCAGAGCATCAGTCAAGGGATGAACACTAGCCGTGGAGGTCAAAACAGCTCAACCTCTCATAGCAACCACTGAGACTCCACCTCCTCAGCAAGATCTCTCTCTCCCGGCTTTTTTGCCTCCACTAAACCCCAGTGATCAGACTCTCAGTGAACAAAAACAGCTTTAATGAGCTGGCGGTGGGGGGGGGCGGGCAGGTAAGACCGATCCTACTACCACTTCCATTTCCCCTGGTGTCCTAGGAAGCAGGAAGATTAACCTGGATTGGCCCAATCCTAAATATCCAAGACCACCCTCTGCAGGTTCGGCCCTTTGAAAAGCAGTGAGGCAAATGCCTGGGAAGCCCTGGGCCAGGGAAAGTGTGTTTCTCTGCAACCCTGTCTCCCAAAGCTTCCCAGGCACCTGGCCGTCTGCATGATTCTGAGCACAGTAAAGCCGGAGGGCGGCGGGGTGCTGCGGCTCAGGGTACCTACCCTCCCATAAAAGCCACAGGACCTCAGGGCTTAAGGAGGTCTCCCAAGACCACTGAGGGTGAAGAGAAGCTGTCAGGGAGGAAGTCCCCTTCCCCTCACGCCAGACTCAGCAGCTGCATAAGCCGCCAAAGACCGCTGGACACATTTTCCTACATGCACATGCAGTTTACGTCTTGCTCAAGAAGGGAATGCACCCTGGACTCGGCAGGAGGAGGCCGCTTTGTGTACTGCTGTGCATAAGATGTTCACTTGCGCCCGGGAGTGCAGAGGGTGCACTGAAGAGTGTTTGCTGTGCACATCTCCATCTGACAGTCCCCCAGATTCCTCACAGCGGTGAGAGTATGGCTGCCAAGTGGCCTCTGTCCGGAAGCAGTATTGATCTGCCTAGCGCATCGAAAAAGGAACAAAGGGCAGTACTCACACACACACTTTTCTCTACTGGGTCTTATGCCACCCCTCCCCCCCAATAAATTTCCGTTTCTCTAACTGGCTATTAAAATTGTAGAACTGACCATGTGGAGCTAAATCAGGTGAGCGCCCAGCCTGGACTTTGCTTTCTTGCTCTATCACACACAATTCCATCCCATACGTCCCCCCAACACCACCTACTTCCTGTTATCACCCCAGAAATCCTAGGTTACACAAGCCCTATTTTCTGTTTTTAGCATTAAGGCAAAAATGAAAAGAACAAGCATGGGGCGTAACTCCAGCCTTTCCACCGGCAGGCT